AAAATACAAAATTAAAAGAAGTAAAAAAAATATCGTCGTTCAATTGAACGTTTGAAACTTTGATTTTATATTTATTTGTTTTCTTTTCAAATTAAAATTTAAGTCAATAATTTTGAGTTACACATCAGCAAAAAAAAATAATAATGAAGTTTCTAAATGTTAAATTTTAGTTTTAAATTTATATTTATTTAATTTAAATTTAATTTTAATAAAATTAAATCAATAAATTTATGGAACATCTTTTCATGAAAAATATTTCTTTCATTTTCATTTGAACGTTAAAAAATTGTGGACTAATTAATTTTAATTAATTACTTAAATAATAATAATATAATTAATTAATAAAATGCCCAATTCCTAAACTGAAATCATACAAATTTATTTATATTATTAAGTATTTTATTTAATTCTATTTAATTTTATATTTATAATTTTATATTATTTTACATAATGGTAAATTAAAGAAAGAGAATTTAATCCAATTTGTTTCGAATTCGACAAGATTTTTAATTTCCATTTTTGGAAACGACCTCGAACTGGGATCAGTTCTTTTTTGTTTTACGAACCTTGGGTGTTGGGTCGACGCGAAGGTGTCTTTGGGCCCTGTTTCATTTCTTCGTCATGGTTTCTTCGTCTAATAATCCTGGATTATGCACCTCAGGACAATGTCCCTGTTTATCGAGTGTTGCAAATAATAATAAACTTTTTAAAGCTTCAAAAGTCGCGTCTCAATAACATCTCTTGAATAACAAATTTTCCACACTTTTTCTTTCTTTCTTTTTATTTTTTTTTCTTTTGTACGCTTAAAATGTATTATAAATGAAACGAAAACAAGTTGTGAACACCGTCGCGGCTCGGCCGTGACTGAAAACTCGTAATATGTATGCGCTTTCACCTTGCGCGAACTAAACGCGAAGGCACTCAAACGATTCTATAGAGTTTATATTCCGATACATAATTCCTATAACCGGTATTTTCGATCATATATGATCGACTCAATTTAATGCCAATGTGACAAACCAAAATTCATTTTAATAAAAATTTATTTATCACAAGATACTGTTGCAACCGGTTTTTATAATTTTCAGTGGAATGCAATTTGCACACTTTTCTTGCTTGAGGGACTCGCGAGTTTCATATCTGAGAGAGAGAGAGAGTTTTTTTTTTTAATAATTATTCATACACAAGATCCGTCGAATTTTAATTTTAATTCAAGGCTCGAGATTTTAACCATAGATTTATATATACTCTTGAAAAAAGAATTTCGCAAAGGGATTTTTTGTCAATTTAATAAAAAATTATTTTAACTTTTGGAAATTGAAAACAAATTATTTTAAGTCAAAAGAAAATCAAAAACATACACTTTATTAATTGAAAATATTTTAGTCAAAAGAAAATAAAAAATAGACGCTTTTCTATTAAAAAATTAGTAGAAATTAATTAAATTTTCAAAGAAAAAGTTGAGAGAGAAAGAAGAAATAATATTTGGAAAATTTTGAAGAAGAATTAATAATGATCGACAGAAGAGCGAAAGGAAAATGTTGGTAATTTAAAAATATAATGATCTGTAATTTAAAAAGATCGTGAAGTGAAATAGCTCATAACGTGACTAATGAAGACTTCCTCTATTAATTATTTCCTTGGAAGGTGTTATTTTTCCATTTGGTCGATAATAAATAATAATTTGCAAGGAACGCGTGCGAGCATCTGATTAAAAAACACAGCAGGGGAAAATGACCTAAGACAACAACATTAGAGCAACACGAACTTTTCAATCAGTGTCGTAACTGTACATTAGTTTGTAACAAAAGAACTTCTATTGTTTCCTCAAAGTAAAACTATATACATAGCCGAAATAATTGCATTTTATTTACGAAAAAAAAAAGAATTTTTTTTTACATAACAAAACATACAAAACATTTCCATGTCAATTTCTCCTACACCTCGAACACATCGGAAATTAAATAAATAAATTTCTTTATTTAAAAATAAAAGAAATAAATAAATAATTTAGAAATAAATTTTAAATAACAAAAGTGAAGTAGATTACTACTTCACTTTTGTTATTTAAAATTTATTTCTACATTATTTATTTACTTCTTTACTTTTATTGATTTATAGATACTTACAATTAATTTCAATAAGTAATTAATTCATTATTTGAAATTAAATAGTCAAATAGAAGAAGTAAAATAAAAAACAATTAAAATAAAAAAAAATTAAAAATTAAAAAAAAAAAAAATAGAAGGAAATTTGAAATTTAATTTTATGCAATTTGTTGAGTATCGAATTTTTTTTCAATCGTAATAATTCATGGACAAAAATGTCGAATGTCTATTAATGAATGATTTATATTGTGCAAAGCGTAGAAAATTAGAGAAATACAGTTTTTAAAGGAAAAATATAATTCGCAAATATTTCACAAACATGAGAAGTTATAGTTGTAGATATGCATCGAAAGAGACAGACCGTTTTTTATGACAAGTATAATTATTGCAAAGACAAGTTGCGATACAAGGAAATATCGAGAGGCATTTGCCAATAATAGATCATTTTATGGTTTAATAAAAGATCTAAAAACAAATTTTTTTAAATTATACATCTCTGTTATTATTATTGTCACTCCTATTATTATATTTTTATTTTATTTTCAAATATCAACTTTAATTTTTGAATAAATTCAGATTTGAAATTTTAAAAAAGTTTATTTATTAACTACATGATCAATTACTATTATTATTATTGATTATTTTCATAAATTTTAATAAATTTTTCGTAACAAATCAATTATTCTCAAAAAATTTTAATAATATTCTTAAAAATAATTCAATTATTCTTATGAATAATAAAATTCTTTGCAGGAATTCAAATATTTCCAATTACAATTTTAATAAAATTTATCGACAGAATTCAATTATTTTCAATAATTGTAATAAAATTCTGGAAAGCACTAAATTTTTTTCAAGAAATTTTTTCAAAAATTTAATAATGAAATGTTTAATTATTATTTTAAAAAGTTGAAAAAAATTCTTCGCAAAATTCAATTACATACTTTTCAAAATTATCAATTAAAATTACTACTTTTTAAAAAAACACCATTATATTAAAAAATATCAAAGAAATTCTTCAAATAATTCAATTCATTTCAAAAATTCCAAAGAAATTCTTCAAATAATTAAATTATTTTCAAAAACTTTAATAAAATTCTTTGGAAGAATTCAATTTTTTTTAGAAATTTTCATGAAATTCTTCGTAAAAATTCAATTATTTTTAATGTAATTTTAATTAAATTCTACAAAAAACATAAGTATTTTCAAAAATTTTAATAAAATTCTTCATAAAATTCAATTATTTTCAAAAAATTTGATAAAATTCATTATAAGAATTCAATTATTTTTATAAATAATAAAATTCTTCTCATAGAAATTAAATAAATTTTTCATACAATTTTAATAAAATTTCACGAAAATGCAAGATTCAATTATTTTTAAAAATTGTCATCAAATTTTTAGAAAAATTTCAATTATTCTCAAGTTTTGATAAAATGTTCGATAAGATTTCAAATATTTTCATAAATAATTTCCATGAATTTAATTATTTTCAGTACAATTTTAATAAAATTTCTCTAAAACTTTCAATTATTTTTAATAAATATAATAAAATTCTATAAAAATTCAATTATTTTAAAACAAAGTTTAATTCAATAATCAAATATTTAATTATTAATTATTAATAAACACGATTATTTAAAAAATTTGAAATAAATTCTTCATAAAATTCAATTACTTTCATTTCTTTTAATTAAAATTATTTAAGAAAAACTCCATTTAAAAAAATCCAAAGAAATTATTCTAAAGAATTGAATTAGGATTTTCAAAAATTTTCACAAAATCCTTCAAAGGAATTCAATTAGTTTGAAACTTTATTTATAAATACTTAGCAAGAATTTAATGATTTTCAACACATTAATAAAATTCAAAAACATTTAAAAAGAAAAATAATTATTAAAAAATAAATATTATATAATAGCCAGAAATAGTTTTGTTTAAATAAATAAATAGTTCTTACTAATTATCAAATATATTTCTCATTTTGATAAATTAATTTGTGCTAAAATCTAAATTTGATAAAAAGACGAAACGCTAATTTAATTTCTGGCACAAGATACTTTGCATGCTTCATTAATTTGATAATTCTGGTATTTTTTCTCCATAAACGTAAGACGACGATTTCATTTTTATATGGAGCAAACGAATATTTTTTCCAGTTTATAATTAATAATAATTACGGCAAACGGTATTAAGAAAAATATTTTTAAGATCATTTTTTAATAAAATAAAATTATAATCTGTTTTATTTATGAAAATAATAAAATTATTCTCATTTTTAGAATGAATTCGAAGTATTAAGGAACTCGACATTTCTAGACGCGAATAATGAAATGACTATATTAATATGGAAATTATACAATATTCATGAATCTAACTGGCAGACGACTTCCTACACTTTTTAGTCGTTCAACTCTCATCGTGAAGAAGCGTGTTTAGCGACATGTATGAAATTGCGAATAATCGAAAGTCAAGGACTATTTCTCATATCTCTCTCTCTCTCTTTCTTCTCACTCGTTCATTTATAATCAGAAGTGAAACTTGGGCAGAACGTGAACGTTTTATCGATCATTCAGAGTAAAAATTGGCAAAATTTTCTATAAAGATCCAAGAGAGACGATTTCAAATTGAATTATTCATTTTTTTTCCAGAATTATCAAAGGAGAAAATTTGCGACATTTTCGAATGTTAAACTTTGAAGAGAAGGAAAAATGTAAATTTGTCTTTTTTTCCAAATATAGAAGAAATTTATTTAGAAATAGAAAAGTTACTTTAAATTCAGAAAGTGATTTCAAAGACGTCAATGTGGCCTTTCTCATTGTATTATATAAGTCACTTGGGTATTTGTAATAAAATGTTGTTTGCAAACTTTCTCATTAGTTTCATACTTACCAAAGAGGACCACACGATCGCATATTGTCTGACTTGTTGATCTACCGGAACTTTTTCGCGTTACTTTTGTCCGTTGTCCTCGAATTTTCCGCGACCAACGTTGTCCCAATTTCTTTTTACTCGGAGTCCCGTGAGCCTCTCGTATGCTAAAAAGAAATAACAGACGAAAAATTTAAAATTTTAAATACTAAACATATGTAAAATTTTCCTTCTTCCATTATTTTAAATAGAATATTAATTTAAACATCGTGTATATTAAATTTTCACTTTAAATATATATCTCAGATTGAAATAATGAAGAAGAGCCTATTAATTTCGAATGTTTGCCAAGTACTATTGTTTTCGTTGAAACAATAAAGATGGACCGTCACGCCATTAAGTCTCTGGTCGGATAATGAAGTAACTGATGCTATCATTGCCTTCATATTAAAACGAAATCACAGCTTTCTAAACTTTTCTAAAACGAATAATTTTTCCAGTGTGGAATAAATAAAATAAATTTTCCCCCCGTTTTTTTTTTGTTAATTATTCGGAATTTTTTTCAGAAAAGAAAAAAAATCTCAAACAACTTTTCCTTTTTGTTGAGAAAATGAATTATTATTATTGTTGCATAAATGAAGAATGTGAAATAGAGACTATATTTGAGCCTTGGATAATATACTGTGAAAAGAATTCAAATGCCACTCACCACGTGACGTTTCTCTTTGGCACGAGCAGAGAGGGTTTCGCGTCTTCGAGATCCTCCCACTCGGATTCCTTGCCATTCAACGATGACCCCGGTTGAGATCCTGTACTGGAACCTGCGTAAAGGCTATTGACACGTTCCTGACATGGAAGATCAACGTCATCATACACTCCTTGTTCATTCTCTTCTTTTATCTCATCGTCGTCGTCGTCTTCGTCTACACTCGAGTAATCATTGTTCACAGCGTAATTTTCATAATTCGAACTTCTTTCCGAATCGTCCTTTTTTTCGAATTCGTTACTCTCAATTTCCACTTTCGTTTTCATTATTAAATAGTCATTTATCTCCAGTGTACTCGTCGATGAGAAATGCTGCTCCATTTGACATGACCGCGGCATAACGTCGTCATAAACATTGTCGAATTTTTCATTCTTGGAAAATCCCACATCATCATAGTCATCGTTCTGTGAAAAGAAATTTTATTTTCAATTTTCTTTTGTTCATCATCAATGATTCAAAAAAAAGTCGAACTTTCGTTTCTTTTTATGATTTTAAAAAATTTTAAATACACTGGTATTTATAAAATTAAAAACAATTTTTCTTTCATTCGAAAATCAGGGTTGCCACGCTTTTGCTCATTTCAAATTCCCTGACTTTTACAGGTTTTCCAGGATAAAAAAACGGAATTTTTCCAGGTTTTTAAAACTACATTTATATTTTACAAAATTTTTTATTCAAACCTTTTTGAAATTAAACAACTTATAAAAAAAATTGTTATAAAACATAAAGAATTCTTTGTTTTATAATTATAAAAATAACTTTCATCACTTCAATTCAATTATTGTATTCCAGAATTTTTAACTAAAATTCTTCTTTATTATTATTAATAATTTTTGAAAAATTTCTTTCAAAATTTTCAAACTTTCAAATTTTCTTTCAATATTTTACGAAATTTCATCGATTATTTGGAAATTCTTCAATCAAATATATATTAGAAAATAAAAATTTCAAATAACTTAAAAAAAATTCAATTGAACTTTTACAAAAAAATTAAATGTACACAATTTTAAAAGTATGAAAAATTCAAACATTCAAAGATTATAATTTGAAACCTTTTCAAAACTTAATTATTATCTAAAGTTTTAACTGAAATTTATATGATCCCCAAGTTTTGAACGTTCAAATGAACGAAATATTTTTTATTGAAGATATTTTAATAAATTACTTATCACAAACAAATTTCAAAACTGAAATATTTAAGTTTAGAAACTCAGTAATTAATTTTTTGAATAGTAACGCAAAATAATTGCAATAAAAATTTAATTTGGAGAAGAAATAAATAAATTTCGTTCATTTGAACGTTCAGAACTTTAGGTTCTTAAATTTATATTTGAATCAATTATTATTAGAAAATTCTACGACAATTCAATTATTTAAATACAAAAAAAATAATTTATTGAAAAATTGAATGTTTTTTAAAATTGAACTTTCATTTAAAGAATTTTATCAACAAATTTTTAAATAGGTAATTAAAATTCTTTTGAAGAATTTCAATAAAATTTTTAAGAATAATTTCATTTTTCGAGAAATTAGATTAAAATTGTATTAAAAATAATTGAATCTCTGTAAAAAATTTGATTGAATTGAGAAAAGTTTTTGAAAATAATTGAAATTTTACCAAGAATTTTATTAAAATTTTTGAAAGTAATTGAAATATTGTCAAGATTACTATTAAAATTTTTTGAAAATAATTGAATTTTGTAGAAAAATTTTAATATTTATAAAAATAATTGAAATTTTGACACTATTTTTTAAACTTTTGATCATAATTGAATTTCTGCGAAGAATTTTATTACTTTTGAAAATAATTGAATTGATTCTCTGTAAAAATAAATTGAATATTTTTGAAAATAATGGAATTATTACAAAGAAATTTATAAAAAAAATTTGTAAATAATTGCATTGCTTAGAATTAAAAAAAAAATTTTTTTAAATAATTCATTTCTTGTGGAAAATTTTATTAATATAGTAGATATTGAAAATCATTGAATGGAGGAGAATTTTTGAAAAAAAAAATTGAATTTGTTAAAAAGAATTTCATTAAAATTTTTGAAAATAATTGAATTTTGGAGAAAAATTTTAGTATTTATAAAGATAACTGAAATTTTGACAATAATTTTTTAAAACTTTTGACCATAATTGAATTTCTGAAAAAATTTGTATTACTTTTGAAAATAATTGAATTCTTGTGATGAATTTTTTAATAATATTTCTTTTTAAATACCTAATTGAATTCTTTTCTGAAATTTTATTGAAATAGTAGATATTGAAAATAATTGAATTTTGATAAATTATAAAAATTAATGAAATTTCTACAAAGAATTTTATTAAAATTATTTTGAAAAAAATTGAAGTGTTAAAAAAAATTTCATTAATATTTTTGAAAATAATTTAATTCTTTCAAGAAATTTAATAAAAAATGAATTGACAATAATAATTAAATTCTAATAATTAAATTATAGGAAGGCTTCTTAAAATAATTGAGTTTCTTTGATGAATTTTAATAAAATTTTTAAGAATAATGACATTTCTCGAGAAATTCCATTAAAATTGTATTAAAAATAATTGAAATTCTGCGATGAGTTTTATTATTCATGAAAATAATTGTAAATCTATAAAGTTTTTTATTATTTATGAAAATAATTGAATTATTGCGAAGAAAAATTGTAAAGGCAACTCTTTTAAACATGAATTAAGAAATTTGAATTAAGAAAATTGAAGTAAAGAAAAATTAGATTTCAAGAATAAGCACAATAACTTTAGAAAACAATCATTTTTTTAGGATTCCAATCAAAATTCTCTGACATTTCCAGGTTTTCCAGGTTTCCAGGTTGCGCGGCAACCCTGGAAAACTATTTAATCTTTTTAAAATATAAAACGCATTCGAAAAAGCCTAACTTTCCCCCCATTTCTTTTTATAATTTAAAAAACTTTAAATACAATATTTATAACTTTGAAAACAATTTTTCTTTAATTTCAAAACTATTTAAATATTGAAAAATATTGAAAAATATAATAATTAGATTTTTAAAAGCAAAGGTTATATAATTTTCAGTTATTGATTAGAATTTTGTAAAAAGAAATTTTTAATTTCCATCACGTAATGTGTGTGTGTATAAAAAACAATAAATGTGTTACAACGTTTCAGGAATTTTATCAGCCAATCGATACAATATGTAATTAGTGATGAAACTGTAAATTTTGCTGATTGTCATTTTTTAATTACAATTATTGCACGCAAATTAAAATTTATTATTCAACTTTTAAAAATAATACGTGTATTTATGTAAAAAAAAAATTGAAATTTTTAACCGACTGTAAAAAGTGAGATGTTTATTTAAGGCATAACTGACAAGATAATCTTTAAAATTTTTACTCAAATAAAAGTTACGAAAAAGATGAATATTTACAAATATTCTTTTATATTTCATTATTTCGTAATTGAGATATTGTTTCGAGAGAAATAATACAAATTACACATTTTTTTTCTTTAATTATTTTACGTTACTGAATTCAATTCACCACATTAAAATGACATTGAAATTAATTTTTTAATAAAAAATGTTTTTAATTGATTGGTTAAATAATAATTTAAAAAATTTTTAAACTACCTCAAAAGATGTTCCAATGTCATCAAATTCTTCATAAGTATTTTCATCTTTACTGTGATCACTTGACGATGAATTTTCATGATTTTCCGAATTTTTCCTTCGTTCACTCCAAAGAAAACTCGAATTTGCCTTTAAGCCATTATAAGGAGAAAATTCGGACACCGGCTCGTAAATCTTCTCATCGACCTCATTCTCATCGTTCTTCGTTTGGCAATTTTCCAAATTTTCGACTTTCACCGATTGATTTTCACTCACTGAATCATAAGATGGATCGTTGTCGGTTGTAAATGGTAATTTTTTAATTTCCACATAGCCCCTTCCGTCAGTTTCACTCAGTAAGAAGCTAGGACGACCTGAAGCAAAATTCCATGATAATTAATTCACCAGTTATTATTTCACACAACGAATATAAATTAAACGTTTTTAATTTGTAAAATAAACTAATTTTTTACCTTCATTTTGAGAATGATTAAAAATTTTAAGTTTAGTTATTAATTAAAATGCTAATTAGATAAAATTATTATTAATTAAAACTGTAATTAGTTATAAAAACGAAAATATTATGGTAAATTTGAATAAATTTTTTAATAATAGGAATTTAGAGGCAAAATTCTACAAGGATGTGAAAAATAACTAAATTTTCTCTCATGTTTTCTGACAAAACAATTGAATCGTAAAATTGTATTACGCTACGTGATCCTGGTACAGTTTGCGGTTACTTTAACCATAACTATTATCGTTGCTTTAGCTATAAAAACTATTTTTTTATGAAGTGGCAAATCCGGGAACAGAGTAGCGTAATATTTTTGTACCATAAATTACAAAAGTTTCAAGTGTTAATTATCAATTAAATTAAGATATAGAAAAATTCTAAATTACCCGAAAAAATAATTCTTTTACGACAATTTTATCAATTTCATTAATATAAATTATTAATTAATTCTCGTAGTAATTAAACATTATTGCAAATAATTATAACTTTCTAATTGAATAATTCTAATTTCTCTATTAAATTTTAATCAAAATTATTTCCTCTATTAAATTTTAACCAAAATTATTTCAGTTATTAACCATCAAAATTTTATCAACATTATCATTAAGAATAAATAGAAATAATTAGAATGTTTTAGAAACAAAACTCACCGTTAATTTTATCCATTTTTTCGTAATTATGCAACTGATCCATCTTGAATATTCTTAGATCGACAAATTTTTGTTCATGCGTAATTACATTTTGTTTCGTACACGAATTACTGTCGGAATTCACTAATAATTTTGGATTTGTTGCCGAAGCGACGTGGACAAAATTTGTTGGCGACGATATTGTCACGTACTTTAATTCAGTTCTCGAGAGACTTCTACATTTTGCCGAATCATCTAAATCAAATTTACTATCAATCTGATTATTTTTCAATGATCCAAGCGATAGACTTAATCGATTTTTTCTCAATTTCTTGTAACGTTTCACGTGATTCGATATAGGAACATAGTGAAGGACATTCTTGGTAAAATATTTATACTTCTTCTTCGATTTTTCATCATTAATAAATTGTTTTTCATTATCGTTTTTCCTTATTTCGATATTTTCGATAATATTATTGTTAATATTACACATACTATTGTCATTAAGTTGTATACTACTGGAATTATTCGTGTTATTATTGCTACCGTAACCGCTAGTATCAGATTGATTGCTGAGATTGTAACTATTAATACTAATGGAAGAAATGTCCAGATCTAGATTTTGTTCGTCCTCAGATTTTTCTATACTTAAATTATTGACAGAAGTAGTAAATACGTCGTCATACAATTCACTATCAATAATGAGTGATGGATTAAAATTATCATCTTTTTCTTTAGTTTCTTCACACGTTCTCGTCACGTTTTCGTTTAATTTCGAGTCCCTTGGCAATGTGTTACTCTTCATATGACAAGAATCGTGTTTTGTAATTATTGGTACTTTGGAATCTTTCAACAATTTTTTGTTACTTCTCCTATTGAGGGAAACTGACTTCTTCATAACTTCCCTCTGATTTTCTGCCTTTGAGTTTTGATTCAATCGTGAACGAATTTTCCATTGGATATTCGAAGCTGTTCGTGTCTGCAATTTAAAAGAAATTATATTCGTATTTTTAATATTAAATTAATTTAAAAATTAATAAATAAATAAAATATAGAAAAAAATATTAAAATATTAATAAATAATAACTAATAAATGAATAAAGTATTAAGAAATAATACAAATGTTTAAAATAATTTACTTTAATTTGAACTAAATATTTAGTTCCATCGGAATTTTTTATTTAAACATATTTTTCTGTTTGTAAATATTTATAAGTTAGTGACACGCAAAAGTTGAAAGATCTTTTTATCGTTCGTTTAAAAATTATGAGAGGAACGTGACATTATTTCTTCTTTGTAAGGAAACAAAAAGAAACTTTTAAAGGGAAACAATAAATTGTAAATATTTCTTTCAAAATTTAATCAAGAAAAACTTTATTTTTCCGATGGATAATTTTCTAAATGCCTAACATAAGGAATTAAAACTTGACTCGCAAACCGGCTAAAAATGGAAACTAATCAATTTGCATAAAAATTTCTAAATCCAATAAATAAAACCTTCGACTAAAAATAGAATAAAAAATGCAAATAAATTAATTTAAAAAAACCTTTAAAAAATCTCTAAAAATTTCTAAACAAATATCTAATAATTCATAAACAAATTACATTTTTTTTTTGTTTTTCAATGCATAAAAATTTTTTTTTTCGGGAAAAATTGAAGAAAGAAGAAATTTCTGCGAAAGAATCGGTGGGGAGAAAATTTTTTTCATTATTGAAACTCGCCAGAAAAGAATCTGGACCAAGCGGTACAATGAACTTTACTTAAGCCGAATGAGAATGTGGCTTGCGCTTTTGTGAATAAAATTATTTCCCCATTGTTTAAAATGAAGACAGTAGAGAAAAGGTGGTGAGGGGGGAAATTTTTTATTTTTATTTAATAAAAGCATCTTGAAGGAAATTCGCGATCAAGATCGAGGTACCGTTAAAGCTTAGAAGTCATACTTATTGTTAGAAGCGGAATGGTGAATGTTTACTCTTGTAACGGGGCTCTTGATATATCTACATCGCAGATGTTGTGTTGAAGGTTGACACAATCGCGAACATAAAAGATATTTCAAGAATATAAAAAAGGAAAAAAGAATTATAAAATTATGAAAAAAATCAAAACATTCTTTTGTCATACAATTATTTTTAAATCCATTCGGAAAAATCTCAAATAAAAAATTGGATAAAACAAAATTAATAGGTAATTAAAAAAAGTAAATTCTTTAGTTTGACATTAATTTATATGATCCGATAGTAATTCAAAAAAATGATTGCGAAAAATGAAATTTAAGCAAAAAAAAAAAAATTTAAATCATGATGTGTTAAAAATTTTTTTCACTAACGACTTCCAAAGTGTAAAAACAATTTAAAACTTATCTCCTAAAACTAATTGTTTAAACGTGTATAATTAAATTTATATGCGGTAAGAAAGTTAAAAAAAAATTAACGTAATACACCCCGATGTGAAAATTACATCATTATCAGAAATTGTATTCTTGTCTTGAGATTAAAAGCCTGTAATTCAATTGTTCTCGAGCGTAGCAAAACAAGTATCCTAAGTAGCCTTTCAACATTTATCACCAACTTTTTTTTTCTGCTAAATTTACAATATAAACGATGAAGAGAGAATTAAAAATAGAAAAACTAAATCGTATCATTAACAATTTTCCGATTATCTTGAAAAAAAAATTTTCTTTTATCTAACTGATAAAGAGAAAATCGTTTTCTTTGAACCTTTGATTTGTACCTAGAATTGTAAAAAATCCCCAGAAGAATTTATGATTTTGATTAAAAAATAAAATCCCTTATATTCCAATATTTTGAAAATTAATTCTTTTTTTTATTTTGAATTTAAAAATTTTTCTGATAAAAAGTGAAAAAAATAGAAATTTTTTTTATAGAATTAGAATTATAATTCTCGTATGGAAAAAAAATGCTGCAATCAAGTATATATTGGAGATGAAAGTATAAAATCTCTTGGGATTGCTCACCTTGAAACTGGGCTTTCTAGAAGACATTTTTCTTGAAATGATTTTTTCTTTATTATCAATTTTCGCTGAATTATCAACGACGTGATCATTATCGATTGGAAGTAATTTCAGTGGTAGAGTAACTCTCTTCAGGGCCAAACTGTCTAGTGTGGCGTAAACAATTTTATCGGAATTCAAACACGATGATTGTCGATCACCGTGTAGGAAACTCCGATTTGCCGTTGGCGAGGGAGTCATCCCAGTTTCTTCCGGTTTCACGTGCATTTGTCAGTGTTCACCAACACCCGGGGAATCCTTAATTTTTTTCCTTCATCCTCTCTCCCATCTCCTGCAACAGATTTTTTTTCTCTCTTTTAATTCATAAAACCGGTTAGAGTGCGTGTGATTCATCAGAGAACTTTGTGAAAATGTTATCTCTTAAGAGAGTATAGAGGCTGTGAATAAGGAAGGCTTATATTGATTGGATAAAAAGTAGAGTAACAAAATCATTCTATTGACTTTCGTAAATTTTATTTTATATTCTCAAAAAAGAAACTAGAATTTTTTAATAATTTAATTTAACAAAAAGAATTCGATTTTATGAATTTCATCATTTTTTCAAGAAAAAAAATTACTAAATTCAGAAAAGAAAAATTAAAATTAGTAGCATCAATTTTTTATTTTAGAAAATATTTTTTCTTTATCACAGAAATACTTACAAATTAAAGAAATTTAAAAAATGTCGTTCGACACTTTAAGAATGATGAAATTTTCCAAATCGAAAGAATAATTCAATAAAAGCAATTGAAAAGACTTTTCAATAAAAGAAATTCCGAACGCAGGATTTTAATTGTATAAAATTATTTCCAATTGTGAATACAATAATTAAATATTTGCAATCTTTCCTTTTATAGGTTTCATGAAAAAATTTTATGACTGTATTTTTTTTATTTATTTGTACAATTAATGCAACAATCTAATTAAAGAAAAAGATGTGAATTCTCACAAATTATAAATAGGAGAAAAATTCTTATAATAAATCTTCCGTGAGACAGAAAAGAATTTAAACAACTTCTTCATTAGTGAAAAATCTCATAAAAACCAACAAATCTATATTGTATTTTCTCTTTCTAAATTATTATTATCATTGAAATTATTTTACGTAAGCTTTTTAATTCTCGTATTATTGACTTGAGAATTATTTCCCACTATTTACAGTAAAAATTTTTATTCGTTAATTTCTTTAAATAAAATTTTATTTGAAAAAAAGAGAATAAACTTCTTTATTTATATTAATAGTTAATAATCTCAAATTCATTTCTTTAATTTTTATTTATTATTTTTCACAACTTAAAAATCGAATTGAGATTAAAATCTATAAATAAATCAAAAGAAGTCAGAAAGACTTTGTAAAGTGTAGAAACAGGTCGATTTTTTCGAGATTAGATAAAAAGTAGCAAATTTATGAAAATTTTGAAAAAATGTCCAAATAAAGTAAAATAAAAATTTCATGTCCATTTTAATGAAGAGAAATTTTCTGCACAAGGATTTAAATAAAAATATAAATGTGCTCACATATTATTTACTTCACGTGAATATATATATGCTTATAAATAATTCAGAATTAAAAAACAAATTTTTGAATAGAAAAATCTGTTTATTTTACCAGTTTAGAATTTTGTAAAGAATTAAATTAAAATTTTGAATACAAAAACAAAATTTTTTAATAGAAAAGTCTACTCGATCAGTTTTTAAATTTCAGGGACATAAAATATTCCAAAATTCATATGAGACTATAGGAGAATTTCCTTATTCCGGAAACCGGATATAAAGTTGATATTAAAGGCATTCTTGAAAAGATAAGAAGAATGTCCCATTACCGTTATCACATTTAACAATAAAATTCGCATTTCTTACAAACTCATCGACCGTATGTGCCGCACATGCTGCAGCTGTTTTTTGTAAAAATATTTTTGTAACTGTACTTTCAATTTTAATATAGAAATTTACATTTTGACGATTCACTGTCTTTTACAACTTGTTCCATTAATTAATACTTTAATTAATAATTAAATTAATTAATTTATATTAATAAATACATAAATAAATTAATTTAGATTAATAAATTAATTTGAATCAATTGAAATACTATAATTAAAAATGAATTAATAATAATTTAATTATCATTTTCAATTAAATTTCTTCCCGATCGAAATGTACAAGAATATAAACATTTAGAGCGAATAAAAGTAATTAATTAATTAATAAATACTAATTACGATATAGAGATAAGTTTAATTGTTTAAATCACCATTGGAAATAAAGATCGATACGTATCGAAAGATACAAAAATGATGAAATTCTATACTGATCAGATCAGATAAAAATAATTTTTTTCGATAGAAAGGTAGAAAAAATAAATTTATATATGGAATGCAAATGTTTTTAATGCCAATACTGGTTCGCTAAATGATTACAAAACATTTGACTTTCGTGAGGTAATATCGTTAATATATAGTTAATTAATTCATCGATTGAGAATAAATGGAGATAAACTAAATATATGTATAAGAAATTCCAGAAATATCTTATCTCTATAAAAAAAACTATAGACATATTATTAACAGTTTTCAAGAACACTGTGAAAAACATTTCTATATTTATTCAACAATTAACCGTGTTTTCTTTATGTAAAAATAAATTCTTCAACTTTCGCAAATGTCTTCATTATAATAATTATTGAAATAAGACCGAAAATTATGTTTAACTTGGCCTAGATATTTTTGTTTGTATTTCAATACAATAGAAAATTATTTTTTAATTCTAACGGCTGATTGAAAGTCACAAAATATGTGAAATTCAAATTTAAAAAAATGTCACAGAGTTAATATTGAAATTAATTAATAATTAAAATTAACAAATTATCATTTTTGATAATGAACTAAAAGAAAATATTCTAGTTTCAGTCAATTAATATTAAGATTGAAGACAAATTAGAAATCATTTTCGGAAAAAAAACACGACGAATTATATATAATTATATGAAAATGATGAATCGCGAAAGTTATGGTCATATTTCAATGCACATTTTTCTATGGGAATTATTGCATAATACAATTTAGCAATTAAAACGGCATCCACTGTTTATGGATTGTAATGGAATAAAGTTTATTTTTACACACATAGAAGTGCGTCTAAAACCGAGAAATAAGATTGTAAAATGCATGAAAAGAAATCTCACGCTCTCCTTTTATTCCAGTAACGTTATACTTGTGAAGTATATGTATTTTCCAGTATACTTTCTTTTTGCAATATAAGGAGAAAAATTACTTTTACAACCTTATAAACGTATGCAGGAACTTTGTCTCAAGTAAAAACAAACAAAAAAAAATTGAACATTGATCTTGACGTAAATTCTGCACAACAATTCTAATTTATCTTTCACATTTTTTCTCCCCATGAAAAAAATAGTACAAAAAGTACTATTCAAATTATTAATATTGTTTACACTTATAATTTCAGGAAATCACATTGAAATACTAACACATTAAGTAAAATATTCGACAATTAGATTCAAATATTTTAAACGATTGATTAAATAAAACACAATTGAATAAATAGGAATAAATTATGTTAATTTAAGTGTAAAGAATTCCCATCAATTTTCAGAGGAGGTTTATATAAATACAAATAAATGAATGAAAAAAAACAAAACTTACAAATTCCTTCTGCTTAATAGCTTCTTCTCCAAAAAAACGTCAACCAATTTTGTCCGAGTGTAAAAATTTGTAAAGCAAATTGCAAATTTTATCAACTTTCCCGCAAGAAATTGAAATTCAATTCAGTCAATTTGTACGTGATGGTTCATTTTAAAAAATGACAATTTCCTTGCATCATCACACTGAGCATCTCACAGTGTCCCGTTAGAAAAATCGAAATTCACGAATTTTCTTTCTGAAAAAACCAAAATTATGTTACAATCGATGAATTTCGAAAACAATAAGCATTGTACTGTCAACTGTTTTCTAATTTCAAAAAATAGAGTCCGTTAAAAATTGTTTATTTTTTCACTCAAAACATTAACAATTTCCAAGAAAAACTACTTTCAAAATCGATTTCCTTTAAAATTGTTATCGAACATTGACCGGATAGAAAAGATTGAATGACCGGATTTTATCAGATGATTGTATAAAGATGACTATAATAACCTTTTCTTTCATGCATACTGAGAAAGAAGTATTACTTGTGTATAATAAAAAAAAATGTTTCAACAAGTAAATGTCACAGAGTAAACAAATGTTTTCCTATTGTTTTTGTCACAAACAAACACACGCGCGCGCTCGGAGACACAACTGCAATGATTCGCGAATTCCACCGATATGTAGTGTGTATAAACGTTGAAGGCAAAACCAATGGAGCGATGAGGGAATAATATAACGACGAAATGAACCGAAACCATACGAATTTACCCGCTTATTCACTTCGTACTGTTTCGGTTGCCGGCGTCGACAAATCGTACACATTCGGTTATTTCCGATATTAATCGTTTTCAGGAGCGTAACTAGCGCGGGAAATTTAAAAATAAATTGAGTAGAAACTTTTTCTTTTTAGAGTTATTTTTACGAATAATTAAATGTAAAATTTATTTCAACTAATTTGACATAAAAACGTAATGTAAGTATACAAAAATTGAATAATAATTATATTTTCTTTTTGTTAAAATCGGTTTTGAATTAAAGAAAAATTAATAAAAAAAATTAATTAAAAAATTAATAAAAATAATTGAAAAACAATAATATAGGTAATTAACAATTTTCTAATAATTATAATAATATTAATAATGATAAAAATAAAAATACAAATAATAATAATAATAATAATAATAATAATAATAATAATAATAATAATAATAATAATAATAATAATAATAATAATAATATCTAATAATAATAATATAAATAATAATTACAAAATAATATAATTGATAATTTTGTAATAATTATAATTATATAATATTAATAATGATAAAAAAATAGTAGTAATAATAAATAAATAAAAAAAATGCTTTGGAAAAAAAATTTCTAATACAAAATTTAAATGAAAATAGTTGAAAGTATTTGATTTTTTTTTTTTTTTTTTTTTTGAACATACAAAAGGTCCTCAAATGTGAGACATTGATATTGAGCCGTGAAAAGGGGGAAAACGGTGTTTTTATAGAAAGGTAGAAACTTGAAATAAGGAATTCCCGCATTCCTGGGCAGGTGAGTCGTGAGTCAAATGATGTGGCACGATGGCCTCATTTATTTTGCACCCTGGACCGGATAAACTACTGCAAATTAAGGGAACTTTCGCGATGAAACCAACAACGTTTCGAGATAATTAATATTAAAAATCCTTCTCGGAAAACAATAAATTACTTTTGCAAGATATTTTATAATGATCCAATACAAATTTCTCTTAAATAAAAAAAAAATGAGAGAGAAAGTTTATTATATATTTTTTAAATCTATATTTTTTGTATAAAATATAGAAATAAATAAATATTAGTGGTATTATTAATTATATATTAATTAATAATCGTAATTATTATTAATTACATTAATTAATATTCATAATTATTATTAATTACATTAATTAATATTCGTAAGTATTATGAATAATGTATAATATTAAATAGGCAAATAATAATTAAATTATCATAATTATATAATTGAATAAGAACTTAATTATTTATTTATTAACTTATTCATTTAAATTTTGACAGACAAAAAATATTCTTAAATTATTATTATTAAATTATAATAAATTATTAAAACCAAATACTAAAATAATAATCAGGTTATTATTATTATTATTGTTATTATTAAATAATCAAATAATTAATAATGAGAAATAGGTATTTTAAATTTTTTCAACTCATATTATTTATAAAATTTAATCTTTATGATTAATGCAAAAAAAAAAATAACAAAAAGTGAGAAAAATAATAATTTTAGTTTTTATGTAATAAACGAAATTTAATGGTGCTGGAGAAATTGATTAAATTGTGACAAAGAGGAAAATATAACGTAGGTACAAAAACGTTTTTCGAGATTACAATTATGAACAATAAAATTCTGCGATTAAGATTTCTTTCTCGCGCTAAATCGAAGAAGAAAAACTATAAAGGAACAATAAAAATTATCTTTCTTTGTTGCAGTGTTTAAACTTTCATGAATTTAAAAATTAAATTTTAATTCTTAATATCATTATTATAAATTATTAATTTAAAAAATTGTATAGTATTTTATTAATTGTTCATCATAGAATAATGAATAATAAAATAAGAGTAATTTTGAACCAAAATAGTAAAATTTTTTAATTAAATAAAATTATTGATTATAAACCATATAAATTAATACAGCTATTGTTTAATATAGAAAAAGGAAGAAATTTATTTTCATTTCATTCATTTTTTTTTTATTTGTATAAGAAATGCTCAATGTCAGCGAGGCATTAATTTAAACATATTATCACAATTTAAAGAATGTAAATGACAAAAAGAAATTTTTATATTGTCAAAGAGAAATGAACGTGATTAAAATTTTTGCAATATTTCCTTTGCGTTCATAATGGATAGCCTTCAGTCTTTTTTTATTGTATATTGTATAGAAAATAAACATGAAATAATAAAGTTAATTTTTCTTTATATAAATTTTTAAAAAAATTATTCATCTTGAATACAAAATAAGTCTCATAATTATATACTTGACATTCTTTTCAAATTCTGAACATTCACTGCGAATATGTATTTTTCAAAAAAAATTGCAATTAATTATAATTTTTTATTTTTTCTTTTGTTTTTTGAAAGAGAAAATATTGTGGAAGAACGGAAAAAAATGTTAGAATTTAAAAATATGTTTCTTTTTTCTCCTGTCAATATTTTAAAACTAATGAAAATTGCTTTTTAAATTAACCGGTTTTTCAAGTTTCTTTTTGTCGGCCTCATGTACTTCATTAGATCATTTCCATATGACTTTAAATCCCCACTGTTAGAAGTTTGGACTCTTGTGATTAAAATTTATACAAAGAGAGGGACGTAAAATAACACCAGAGTGAACTTTTCGTTATCATCGAACGAACGCACTTCTCTACAATGTCTCTCGATCAGGTGATTTTCTGTAACTTTTTAATTATTAATCATAATTTTTTGTTTAAAAATTTAATAGATAATATAATTAACACAATCAATAATAATAATAATAATAATAATAATAATAATAATAATAATAATAATAATAATAATAATAATAATAAATAATTTTAATAGATTTCTAAAAGACAATAAATACTGAATAAATCTCTGAATTTTCGAAAATTAACTTTTTTGTAATTCCAAAAAAAGAATTATAATAAAGCTGTTTCTATTTTCAAATCATTTTCAGTTTTTAATTTTTAATTAATTTTTTATACTTTTAATCAGATTGAATTAAAATCATAAATGCTTTTATAAAATTTGTTGTAATACTGTTTCTGTGAACAAGAGTTTTGTTATTATATTTTCGTTTTTACGATAGATTTCCAATAATAAGAATAAATAAATTTATTATAAAAAAAAGGTGATAATATTAGTATAAGGGTCAGATTACAGTTCACGAGAGTTGCAAATTCATGTTTAAATTATGCAAAATATTGTTGGTTTCCACATAGTATTAAATGAAAGGAAGTTACGTAAAAAAATGTTCTTTACACTCAATCAAGAGATCTAAAAATATTTAATATTATCAACAATCAGATAATAAACATTAAATATTTATCTACTGTTAAAGCAAAATTTTTTTATCGATAAAATTGCTTTTCTTTCAGGATTTTGAAGCAGCTGCTGAGGCTATAAAACATATTTCTCAAAGACCAAGTGACGAAGAACTTTTGGAACTTTATGCCCTTTTTAAACAGGCAACAGTCGGCGATGTCAATACAAGTAAGTTTTATTAAATTTTTATTAAAGTTTTATTAAATTAAATTCAAAATATTAAAATTTTAAACTAATCGAAAAATATTAAAAAATTATAGGAAAAGAATTTTTTATTAAATTAAATTCAAAATATTTTAATTTTCAATTAATCGAAAAATATTAAAAACTATAGGAAAAGAATTTTTTAAATTAAATTCAAAATATTTTAATTTTCAATTAATCGAAAAATATAGAAAATTATAAGAAAAGAATTGTTTTATTTTATACAGTTTGAAACTACTCTGCGATTGAAAGAAAATAAATTTTTTTTCTTAAGGAAACAAGAATTAGAAATTGCTTCTACTCTAAAAGTTCAGAATTACTATTCAAATTATTATTTCTGCGATTATTTTATTTTTTTTTTATCAAATTGTTTTATTTTCTCAGCCCGACCAGGAATGTTGGATTTAAAAGGCAAAGCAAAATGGGATTTTTGGAATAAAAAAAAGGGTACGTCAAAAGAAACAGCAAAACAACAATACGTTGCCTATGTTGATAAACTTATTGAAAAATACAAGTAAACAATTAGAAATTATACGCTTGTTAAATTAATTAAAAAACATAAAAATATACCTACTATTAAAAACAATTTTATAAAGTATTTTCTAATTGTTAAAAGCGACTATACTGAAAAAATTGTATTACAATTCGACTGTCATCGTTATCCAGAAATTTATTGTAATATTTATATGATTAATAATTAGAAAATATAAAAATATTTATAATTATATTATTTTTCATTAACTGTTTGCTACCAAAAGTGTCGTGAGGGATTATGTTTTTTTTAACGAAAAAACCACTTCGTTTTCTAAATTGAAAATTAAGTTTGTCATTAAAAAATTAAATCTAGAGGATAATTTAATTATTTCTAAAGTATATCAATAAAAAAGTGATATGTATTTGAAAATAATACTTTCAATTAAAAACAAATGAAACAAATTAAGTAAATCAATTTTGAAAATTCAGCAAATTCAGAAATTTTGAAAAATTCTATAGATTTTACAATATATAGATAAAACTAACCTAAAAATGTGATCAACTGACCTGCAATTTATACGCCCCTGGAATACACGTAGCTGCAGTCGGTAGTTTACGTTTATCATTAGACTAACGAACATTGTAGTCGATTACTCCTTATTATTCTTCCAATAAACACCGCTCTGTCAAAAATCGAAGGTAATTAATTATTTTAATATCAAAGTTCATTCGAACGTATCTATTTTAGTGAGACAACTGTATCAAAATTGTACATTGTTTTCATGTATTTATGTCGTTTTTCCTTTTTTCCTACAGCACAAACTTTTACGAGAGGAGTACAAAGATCGTTTTACTAATTAGTAATCAACCTCAAATAAATAAAAACAAGAAAAAATGTCCCTGGACGAGGTGAGTAAATAAACGTGGAAAATTTTTTATCATTGTTCGGCCATTTTTATTTAATTGTTGAGGAGCATAAATTATTATTGGCTTCTTCCTGTTCCGGTGTAATAAGCCAATGGAAAACGATTACTTCCGGTTAATCAAGAGGGGGGGAATATTTAAATTTTTATACTGAATAGTTTATTGATAATAAAAATTTGTGATTATAAAAGCGACAAAGTTCATTTATAAATAAATTGATAAGAACATAAAGTTAAAAATTAAATACTATGATGAAATACTTTACTTTATAATTTTACCGATTTTAACTTTACTTTATAATTATATTAGTTTAGTAATTATTTTTTTAAATTATAAAAAATGAAAATATTTAATTTTTGGAATTTTTTAATTGAATATTTTTCTTTTTTTCAGCAATTCAATAAAGCCGCAGATGATGTGAAAGAATTGGCTTCAACACCTGCAGACTCTGATCTTTTGGAGATTTATGCCTTATTTAAACAAGCAACTGTTGGTGATTGTAATACAGGTAAAAAATAAAAAAAAATAATAAAAAAAATTTAATTTTTAAGAAAACAAATTTTAAATTAAAAATTTTATTTATGTAATTAAATTAATTTGATTTTTTAAATTATTAAAATTCTGAATTTTGTGTATTTTTTTTTTTAGAAAGACCAGGTATGTTTGATTTTAAAGGAAAAGCAAAATGGGACGCCTGGAATGGAAAAAAGGGTTTAAGCCAAGAGGACGCTAAGAAGCAATATATAGAAAAAGCTGATGCACTACTTCAATCGCTGGGCAAGAAATAAATATGAAAATGAATTGAAATTTGCACAGAGTGTTTTGAAAATTTGATACAATATTTTTATCAAATTTAGGGTGATCTTTACAAATTTTCGCACAATTGTTTACCAGTTTTTTTTTATAATTTTTTTAAAAATGCATATAATTATCTTTATACGTTTTAAATAAATTTTAAAATGACTTTGTTCTGAATTTAAAGGATTTTTTTTTAATAATAACCCAAATAACAAATATTTTGTTTTATTATTTAAGAATAACTTTTTTAAAAATTAATTAAGGTATAGGTAAAATAAAATTAATTAATTAAAATTTTAAATAAAATTAAATATGTTAACAGTAAATTGAATTCTTCATTTGTAAAATTATAAAAGTCTTAAATCGACAAAGATATTTCTAACATTAAATTAAATTTACAATTAATTTTATTAAATTTATTAATTTTATTTATTTTTTTTTTATTAAATTTTTCTTTTTTTACATTATTTTTAATTTTATATATTTTGTATTTTTAAAATTTTTTGATAAATTAATATTTAGAATAGTTTTTGTTTGCACTTGAAATTTTTTTCATATAGTAAATTTCAAATTTCGCGCCGCAGATGTGGCGCCCTCATGTAGAAAACTTTCTTATCAACCGAAGAGGACGCCATATTGATGTGTCAGTTTGCTTTTGGCGCTGAAAGAACGTGAATCTCTCTTTAAAAGTTGTTAGTAAAATTCTTATTTGTGTTTGTTTTTTGACATAAATTATTACAAGTAAAAGTAATATTATAAATCAGTGTTTAGGAACAAGTGTACAAAAAGTGTTTCAAGTTTTACAGTCAATAAAAAAGGTTAGGATAAAATTAGTTAGCGATCGATTAAAAAATCAATTTTCATTGCTGATTATCAGAATTTATTCTTTTGACAATGAGAGAATTTTACATTTGGAACATATTATTCCTTCGGTAAAAAGTTTTATTATCTAGAAACTATATATCTATATATGTATTTTTTACTCTAAAATTGTTGATTTTACATATATTTTTTTTGTGCCATAATATTGCGCTACAATATTTTAATTCGTAACAATAGAGCTAGCAATGATATTAATATTCCTTGCAATATTGTTATATTATTTGACAAGTTGATAAGTTTATTTCAAATATCGTATGTCGGTAAATTGTTTTTCAATTTCGCGCCGCGTATGTGGCGCCCTCATGAAGGAATCTTCCGTATCAACCGGAGAGGACGCCATATTGATGTGTCTCGCGTCTGTTCAGTTTGCGTTTGGCGCTAAAGAAGTTAATCCCTCTCTGAAAATTCAATCGTAGTATAATTTGGGTTCATTTTAATGTATTTTGATTACCGTTTTTATATAAATGATAGTAAGTAAAAGTAATTTTGGAAATCAGTGTTTCGGAAAAAGTGTGCATAAAGTGTTTCAAGTGTTTTGATTTTCACGTGTCAGTGTTGAAAAAAGCTAAGGATAAAAGCTTTCTCAGGATCGGCGATCGACTTTTTAGTCAATAATCAATTTGCAGTTCGACAGAATTCATTGTTTCATCAAAAAGGCAAGTTTCCTAATTATCATTATTTTGGTAAGAATATACATTGCTTAAGTATATCTATATATTATTTTGTTTCTCTAAAGTTGATAATTTTATACATTCATTGTACGAATATTGCGATATTGCCAAAGTATTAGTCTGATAATTTACAAATTTGCGTAATTATACCAAAAAAACATCAATATATTCCTCATGCCACAGCGTTGCCCTAAGATATCTAAAATTGCAACAATATTTGTTAACAAAAGATTGACACTGCAATATTGTTGTAATATTAAAATTAAGCGGCAAATTTTTGGGGAAATATCTTAATTATCCTGTGTCGGTAAATTGCAACAACTTTCTTTAAAGTCCTGAAGGCGGCGCCATGTTCATTCGTCTTCTGCTGCAAGCTTCACACGTTTCGCTACTTTCGGAATTTATCTTTTGGCGGCTAAATTATCAGTTTTTTTTCAATATCATCGCAAAGTGTATATAGCGTGGACTATGTTTAAGTAATATTCACTTATTTTTATACTTTTCGGTGCATTTTTCGTGTTTATTATTGTGAAAATAAGTCGAGAATAAGTACATCAAATCGCAAGTCCGCCGCAGTCGTTGTTTTTGAGGTTATGTTTACAAAGTGATAGTTTTTTTCGTGAATTCTGTGAGTTTTATTCACATTACAAAACAAATTTCGGTGTTGAATTGTTGTTAAAATAATCATGGAGAATGTTGAGGTTATGTTTCTACATCATTACCATTTTTTTGGTGAGTTTCTGTATTCATTTTTAACATTTACTCATTGTTGTTTTTAATTCTCAACGACAATGGGCGAAATTTTTGTTAATTTTTGACAATTCTTGGGTCAGGTATTTATTTTTTTTTTTATTATACTAACGTAATTAGTAAAATATGATTACAATTTTGGATAAATATTAGGTTAATGTGTATTTTGTTTTTCTATAAGAAATGTATTTTGTCAGGAAAATATTTGGTTGGTTCGCGAATTCAAAAATATTAACAATTATCGGCTATACAGTATTTTCACATGCCGATAATTTTTCAAAGGTAAAATCATTTTCCTTGTTCTGAATCTTCTGAATGCTTGTACCATCTGGTGAGAATTTCCTGTATTATACGCGTTATTCGCAAACTTGAAATCCCCTCTCTTTAACCTTCGTTAGTCTGTAAAGCGCGGGTTTACTGTTCAAGTTGCATTTTGGATGCGATCCAATGCACATCGTTTTCGGTTTCCGGGTATAAAAACAACGATTTGTGAATTAAATTGTTCTTGCAATAATTAAAAAAAAAAGAAAACAGGAAAATTAATTTTTTTCAAGTTTCTTAAAAAGTGTTTGTGATTTGTGTTTATAATCAGCGCGTTTGTATCAATCGGTAAGGTCTACATTTTTCGTTGGGAAAAAAATAACACTTTGCTCCAGAATCACGTGCGTTTCTAAAAAAGCCGGTGAGTGTTAAATTCGTTAAAATCTATGAAATTGTTAATGTTGTGAAGTTACTTTTATTTATAACAATGTTCTCGTCAGTTTTGTGAGTTTTAAAAAGAGGATTAATTAGGATATAATCAGTATTCAACGATTAATTAATTAATTTTTTTCTTTGAAAAAGAAAATTGAGAAAATCAAGATATAATGGAATTACCGGTGTACTTGAGTATTTCTCAAAAAAAAAGAAAATTATTATTAAATATTTACGTGCAATTTTAAATTTTGTATACTTTTTATTTTATTTATGTTATTTACATTTATTTTACTATATTTTTAATAGTCAATTTTTTCTGTATAAAGATTTTGATAATGTTTAATTAATTAGAATTAAAAATTTATTTAGTATTTGTTACCTATATTTTTCAATTTTTTTAATTTCAATTTAAAATATTTCTCAACTTTTTTGTAGATAAATTGAATATTTAATGTTTTTGGTATTAATTAAAATTTTTTAATAATTGTTAGTTTTTTATTTATATTTTCAAATTTTTTTTTATTTCAATTTAAAATTTCTTTTTGTATAGAGAAATTGTAATAATAAATGGTTCTTTTTTTGGTATTGTTATTAGAAATTAAATTAGAATAAAATTTGTAACATTTTTTTTATTATATTTATTTTTTCAAATTAAAAACTGAAGAGACCGTAAAAGAACATCACAACGAATTTTTCAAAAATCGAAAAAAATTTACTAACGAACTGTTTGTATTTAAAAATAACGTGCGTGGGACATTTATTTTGTTTTCTTGCAATAATTATATATGAAAAATAAATTAATATTTTGAAATCCTGTTTTTCAACTTAAAAAAAAAAAATGTTCGAGGAATGTTGACCTTGCCGACATAAAAAGTTAGTTTTATACAAAGCCTCTTATATATGTTGCATAGAACTTCAAGGTTCAAAATTTCTATACCTGCCTGAGAATGAAATTCCTCTAAAGGTCGACTTCATACAAATTCGCGTAATCTGAACGGCGGATACGGGGAAAAAATATAAAAATTATTTTCTCTATAATTTCCTAAAAAAAAATTTTTTCAATTTATTTCTGTAAAGAACGGAATATTTCAATATTTTTACCCCAAAAAATGATTCTAATTTTTTTTATTCAAATGTTTAGTAATCACTTTACATTGAAAAAAAATTATTTGATTAAAAAATAACCGATTAATTGACTATTATCAATTAAATATTTTCTTGAATCAAATAATTTGTATTTGAGTCAATCAAATTGTATTTGCTTCAAATACTGAAATTAATTGGTTCAAATACCATTTAATTGATTTAAATGAAAATTATTTGATTCAAGTAAATATTTAATTGATAATAATCAAATAATCGGTTATTTGAATAAAATGAATTTTTTTTTAATTTCAAAGAAAATTCAGCTGTAAAAGTAATATTTGTGAACATCTGCGATTTTCTAATTTATCATAAAGAAGTGAAACGAAAAAAAATAACAGTAATAATTATATAAATGACAATTATAGGTAATAAACTATAACAACAATAACAGGAATAAAAGTATTAACAATAGTAGTGCAAATAATAATTATCAAAAAGAAAAATAACATTAATAAGAATTAAATAAAAATAATAAAAAAGATAATCATAAAGATGAGTAATAAATAATAAAGACAGAAATAGCTTAAAATATAATAATATATTATAACAATTTACCAGATGTATAAATAATTATATATTATTTCAGACAAATGAAATAATAGTCTATAAGATATATTCCTATTATTTCCGTTCAGCTTTCATTCGGATATATATAATTAACATTAAATATTCACTGAGAATTGAATAGAAGTTTATACCATGGTTTTAAATGCAATAAATAATAATTAGTGAGATTATTGTAAAGAAGGTCGTGAACCCAGAGGTTTTACAATGTTTACATTTTGAAAAGCGCATTAAAAATATATGAGAAAAAATTATAAATTTATGTGAATTAATTTTATTTTTTTTTAATTTGACATAAAAAATAATTTGATAGCTGATGATAAAAATTTTATTCAATATCAAAAAATTCGATATATTTTATTTCGCAGATATTGCATTAAAGTAATTACAAAATCGTATTACAAATAAACAATATAAACAATTGACAATTGCTATTTTAATTAGGAATGCAATTTAATTTAATGTAAT